GTGCATCAGGTGTGAATGTGAGGCGAGGACTCGATGTTTCTGAACGACACGGTCTTTGGTGCGGGTCAGGTAGCAAAAACAGGCCAATGCAGTCTCAGTTCATCATCTGCTGAAAAAACAAAAGATAAAAGTACTTTGGAAAACTGGCATCAACTGGTTTTGTCCTCACATCATTCTAGGAGCACAGGAAGGACATCCGCCTATCTATTTTAGTAATTAGTTTTCCAGTTGGGCTGGGCAGCTCAAGCAGAGTGGAACAAAATGCATCACCTTCAAGCTGGTAAAAAATAAAAGTAAAAAAAAACTGTGTATACCTCTATATTTTTTCCAGAATCAGTATTAGTTATTCTATAATTATGTTTAATAATACGAGCGTTAACGTGGTAAATGTCTCTGTGTCGTAACGTATTGCAAGTAATTTTCTTCATGCAAATCTACAACAAAAAAAAAAAACACAATCCTAATTCATCCTTTGTTTTCTGATGTTCATCCATCTTCATGACAGTTGAAAACTGCAGTAATTTTCTGATAATATTGCTCCACTTATAAAGCCATCAATTACACCTTCAGGTGCCTGATCCCAATAAACTACCTTCTTGAAAATGTAATACTTTTTCTGCATGCATATCAAATTAATTCAAAATTCAATTTCAATATTAAAACTTTTTAGAATGAGTAACTAGAATCCCACATATTTTCCCCTGTCCATTGCAAGTTCTTCTGTCCACAGCCTTCTTCAAGTGAACACACAAATTTTCTTCAATTTATTTCTGGACTATTGCAATTTAGTTTTCAGTTATCATTATTTTGTTAAATTTGATCTTTTTTTTCTTCATATTCGAACAGACACTTGGACCTCAGGTAGGGAAGTCGCTGTCACAACAACAGCTACTGGGGATTATAATAAACAAAACTGATGTGTTGGGATCAAACCATGCGGTGCACCGACCCCATAAGAGTTGATGATTTCGTCTACTTTGAACAGTCTGGTTCCCTTTGAGTAATCCCAGATCCTGAAGATGCAACCACCATGTGGTAAACATATCTTTCACAATTGTGGCCATAAAAACATCAACTTTGGTTTCATCAAAGCAAAAAAAGACAAAAACAAAACAAAACAAAAAAACACAAAACAATATTGAGATGGTTTTAGTAAATTTTAACCAGGTCTGGATGTATTCTTTGACACGAAAGAATTTTCTCTCACACCACTTATCACATATAGAAATCCTTGCAGATTTCTTTTTTTTTTTTTTGTCAAATTTTTGTATAATTTGTCCCATATTTTCTACTGTCTATCTTCACTGTTTCAGTGCTGAACAGACTGTGGTACCTTGTCATGACATAGCTTAACATTTTCCTGCCTCAACGTCTCTGCAGATGAAGGTTTTAACTAAAGAAAGCAGAGTAAAAATGTCAGAAAAACATAAATTAGATTAATTTTATATACGGTTAAGTAGATTTTCAGCACTGAAACTGACCAAAAAGCCACAACAGCTTTTTAAATGTACATTTTAAATCTTTCACAGATTTGTGTTTCTGTTGAATTGTACAAGATTAAAAGTATGAAATTTTAACAAGGGTGTGCACACTTGTGTGATCCACAGTGTTAATATTAACACTTATATTATTTTTGACTTTTAAAGATTGTCCAAGGTTGATCGAGTCAAGAGAATCTGGACCGACTGCGCTCCACCCGAGACAACATGTAAACTCCGAGTTAAACAGCAACCAGGAGTCGGTACACAAATACACACACACTACCTAGTACTACCTTGACCTCACATTCCTCATTCCTGTCAAAGGCAAACAAACCTGCGTTTTCTGGAGTGGTACCAGATTAGATTGTTGGATCAATCCTTGTTTCTTTGCATGAAGGTCTTTGTCAGTGTGAGAATGATTGGAACGCTTTCTGGGAACATTTCACTGAATATTTCTCACCGGAACATTTAATGTTCCTAGAAGGAAGGAAGAAAATGGAAGAGTTGACAGGCTGCAGCATTGTGCAAATGTGTGTGAACTCTCAAATGTATTCCCAGAGGTGGGTGCTATTGGATACTTGTGCAGACAAGTTATCAATCATTCTCTACAAGAATTTGAAATGGGTGACAATATTCTAACATTTTCTCACACGGTGCAGCATTCGATCAGTCTTTCTGTTGGATGGTTATTTCATTGTTTCTCTGCAGTTACTATAGTTTTACTTTGTCATCTAAAAGTAAGACTCGCTTTAAACAATTGACTTGATATTAGCTCACTCTAGTCTATCCGCTCATAGGAAGACGTGCAAAAGAAAAACCTTGAAAAAGGAATAATGTTAGCTGTTGTTGGGTTATATTTGTTCTTAATGGACTCAAACAGCTTTGCTCTCTGTGTGTGAAGCTCACTGCACTGATTGCCTGGTTGAAGCTTTAAATATACATGATTTATATTTTTATTTTAAATAAAGTTGTTGAGCAGTCTTCTGCTTTCTGTTTTAAGTGATTGGCTGCTGTCACAATTTTATTTTCCTTTCTGGGATTAATGAAGTACACTAATACACAGCACCGTAAAGGTATTACTACAGCTTATGTGATTTTATTTTGTCCTAAAAGCAAGGTGAGTTTTTAGAATACGCCAGTAAACTTATAATACATTAATAATTTTGATAAAGAGGAGGTATTTAGGCTGATTGAGCAGCTTTAATAACTGTATGGGTGATGCCAATTAGAGCAACAGAAGGGCAGCACATCTGGCCAGAAATGCTGAGTGTATGAGAAAGAGTCACTGCACATGGCAGGATATCCAAACCTTATCGTTATCCTAACCAACAGATGAATAGAGGGAAACAGATGCAGACTTTCCTCCATCCTGTCTGCCACTTCCTACAATACACCTACAGTGTGTGCATATGCGAAAAGATAGCCGTTCTCTTTTTACTTTCACTATCACAGCCGAAAGTAGTGCTTTGTCCGTCTGTTAAACATGAACTAAAATGTCTTTCCTTTCGTAGAGTTTATCTTCTTCTATCTAGAATGAAAGAATGTGACTAGATTAGCTCGACAAGGCAGATGATGGGAACAGGTGGAAATCATTAACCTGCAGTTTCTGTCCGTCTGTTGATCTTAAACTTTCACTGAGTTTCTTGTCTATTGTGGTTCAAAACAATTGCATGCCTTGACAAGACATACATAAGCGTCTGTAATACTTACATTCTGTAACGTTTAGCAATTAGGAAACAGCTCAGGGGCATTTCAGTGAGTTAAATACAAAAATTTAACTCTTACTAAACTATTGTAGTTGTCCATGGGACATTTAAAAGATGTCAACTAGAGCAGCCCATTCAGCTGTCAAAGGTTTTTGCTACTTAAATTTTCTTAATGTGTGTCTGACTATTATTTGCAATTCCTGTAGTTTCTGAAATACTGCAGTTTAATCAGAGTTCAAAGACAAGTGAAAGTTAAAAAAAAATAAAGACTTCCTGTCCAAAGTGTTTGCTTCATTTCTGAAAACATTTTCAGAATTATTGAAACCACAAGCAAAACAAATCCAACAGCTTTTCCTCCCTTGTGGATGCAGTAATAACATGTTACCAGCCCTAAATCCTTCATCTCTCTGCTCATCCCAAACAGCAATTTTCAGGCAGTTCTTCATGTGAAACTTCACAGAGGCCTGACATTTCTCCCGACAACAAAGCTCCCTATAAAACAATGTGAAACAGTAGGAATGTGGCCATAGTAATTATGCCATGTTTTCAAATAAGCAAGTGTGCTGGATGTGTTTGTTTTGATTTTGGCATTTTAGAGGACTACCGGAAGATGTGAGCAAAGCCAAGCATTAATGTTCGCCTGAAGTCTTAACTGCTTTCCTATGTGTAAAAGTTGACATTAAAAATAGATTCTCTTTCCCGGAAACTCAGGTACAAAATCCCCAGTCATGAATTTGCATGTCTGAGTAGAAGTTTAACGTTTCTCCCAGACTGAAAACTGATTACACAATGGCACACTGAAACTTTACAGCCAAGGTGAGTGCAGGTATGCAGCCTCCGCGTCGTCCCCCGCCTTTCTGCAGATCGCCTATGATCCTGAACTACAGGGTCAAGCCATTACTGGGTCAGAGAACATTCCACAGCTTTTAATAGGTCACTGCTGAGATGTTTTACATTGCAAAATCCAGAATAGTATAACTATTTTGCTGAAAAAACAGGCAACATTATTAATTGGAGATTTTCTCAGATAACTGAAACCTGTCAAATACCCTCTGCTGTAAAAGCATCCGCACAAACAGTGCAATACTAACATATCTAGAAAGTATTTACAGTGGTTCAGTTTTTCCACTTTTTGTTATATCATAATTTTTTCGTTCTTCAAAATTCTACACACAAATACCACATGATGACACTGTGAATGGAAAGTTTGCAAATTTATGAGAAACAGAAAACCAATAAATCACATTTGCATAAGTATTCACAAGCTTTTGCAATGAAATTAAAAATAGAGGTGTTTCTACAACTTAAAGTCCAGCTGTAGCAAATTCTGTTGGTTGGACTTGATTTAAAAAGGCACAGATCTGTCTTTATAAAGTCTCTATTATTCTTGTTGAGGTTAAAACTTCAAACCTTGGATTTCAGCTCAACTGGAAAATGATTGATTGCTTCACTATCTTGTTACTTTTGAGCTTTGCTTGGGACAGGAGAGTCCGTTAGACATCCAAGACGCTCCAAGACAAGAAAAGCATTTGAAGACATCATAGCTCCCAGATATGATTTTACTAGCATTTTAAAAATCAAAGCGTGCATGACAGACTGTGACATCTGTCAACATACCATAGCAGCGATGGATTAAATTTAATTTCTATCCTGAGTGACGATAATTGCACTGTGCAGAAAAGCAGCACCATCACACGCTCACTTAAGACCAACCTATGAAAGAAAGGACCATTCAGACCATTGAAAATATGCTTTTTATTAATCCTTTTTGACACAATTAAAACCATTTAATTAAAGTGTGTGAAGTATCAGAAAAGACAAACATGAAACGATGAATGGTTATCAAAGTGACAAATTCCTGGAGAAGAAAGTTTTAAACAATCAACAGATTTACAGCTCAACAGTTCTATAAATCCTGGTTAGTACTTTCATGTTCTCCTGTTCTTGGTTTTAAATCAGCTTTGATTCTCTGGCGTTCAGGAAGGGCAAACCGGTCTGATGTCTGGACGACAATTCTCTGGAAAAAGAATCAGAACAGAGAATCATTTTAGCGTATTTCCCACACTGTGATTGGTATGTTAAGAAAAATGGTGTTTGCATTTGAGAAACGTGCAAAAATTGTATTCACAACATAAAGGCCCACTGCTACCTTCTCTGGACCAATGGTGAGAGAGAATTACTTTTGGGAATCAAACTCTTGACGCTCAACACTTTTAGTTTGACATAGAGCTAAATTTCTTTCTAAGGAAAGAAATTTAGTAAACTATCAGAAAAAATACTTACTGAAGCACTATGTTAATGAAATTGCACCAAGACCCATAGTCTCACTCAGCCTATGGCAATTTGCTCATCACTCAAACTACTCAAGTCCAAACAAACCACAAAGATTAATGTTTACCCCACAGCAGACATAATCCAGATTTGAATATTATTAAAAGTTATTTCAGTAACTCAGTCATTTTTTAAAATTCAAATGACTATATTCTTGAATGTAATCTTCCACACAGAGTAATATGATGACTTAGGAGTTTTGCAGTTTTCTGTACAGGAAGCGCTATTTGTTTTTATATACACCTAGATGTTTGATTTGACATAAAATCAGAAGTCGAATGGGGGCTGCACGGAGTGGTAACTTTCTTCTGTGCCATACACACTATGAGCTCAGAAATACTCGGATTAAAACATCAGTGTGTTTGAGAAGGAAGCTGTGGCGAAAGCATTTATTGTTTAAATGTGGGAAATGTTTTTTAGCCTGCATCTTTGAGCCAGTTCTTTCAGGCTCATTTGTCACAGAGCATAAAGAGTAATTAGTATGAGCAGGTTAGCCATGGTGGCTTTAGTCTACACGTGGTAACAGGCAGAACAAATCTGACACAAAACAGCCATTTAGTATGACCAGCAGTGTGGTTTTACTAAAGACCAACTCTATAGATTCATTCAGTCAAAGATAGCATCAGTGTAAAGGGGTCCCTGACACTGGCACCGCATTATAACTCATATAAGCAAGTCTTTGCAGACTTAAACGCCTCTTCTAAGCACCAATGAACTTGGCTTATTCATTTTACATGACAGGAGTACAAAATGAAAGAAAGAAAAGAGAGTACTGTCAGTGCATACAAATTCAACAGCAGCATAGAACGTGGTAGTCTCACAGCTCCATGCTTTTTAAACTCCATCCATCCATTTTCTAACTCCATTGACCCTATTGGGGTCGGGAGGCATTCGCTGGTCTGTCGCAGGGCAACACAGAGACAGGACAAACAACCATACACACGCTCGCATCAAGGGAGAATTAAGAAAAACCAATTAAAAACAGTCATTGGACTGTGGGAGGAAGCTGGAGTACCCGGAGAGAACTCACGCATGCGCAGGGAGAACATGCGAACTTCATGCTTTAGTCTGTTAAGATGTCTGTGACTTCTTCAAGTGACCAACTTCAGTCATCCGTTTTCGACAACACATCCTCTGCACTCAAGTTAAAAGTGTAAGAGTAAATAGTTCTTGTCTTGACTGACCAATAAAAGCACTCCTTACATTGAGGAACAGTCACGGTACGTACACGTTTAAGAAATAGAACTAAAATTTCAGGAAAACACAAATGTTTGACAAAAAGAAGCAGAATTCCTCAAAATGTAAAGCTTTAAGAAATATTTCTTGAAACAGCTGGTCCCAAATTTGGAAAATGAATAAGACGCTTTGATTTCAAAACTGATGGAAATCTTATATCACATCATTAGCTTATTTTGAAGTGCTTTTAAAGAGACAAAGCACCAGAGAAACTAGAGTTTTCTCTGTTTGGCAGGGTAAAGTCATGCATTCATGTTGCTTTCGTCAAAACTGTGAAAGACTTTGAAGTACTGTTTGCTCTCTTAACAGTTTGACCATTCTCTAGTGTCCTCTGACACCAACAGGAAATTTTCTTTTTTCAGACTATGAAAAAACCAGCTGATCAGTGATCAATCGGTCCATTAGACTGTCTAGCACCAACAGCTACAAACATTTGAAGACTCAAACGTTCTCCCGGTTTGAGCTGATGCTCATTTTGTGTAAATTCAAAATGAGCGTCAGCTCATTTTGAATTTACACAAATCCTCTAGACCCCTGCTAGAAGCTGAAAACACATGATTAATTGAGCCGCTATTTGTGCCAACAAGCAACTGCCTATGAGTTCTAAACACAAATCTGGATCACTAGATTAACTTTATGAATGATAGAGTAAGTTCACAACAGAGCATTCGTAAACACTGTTATCAAACATAAATGGTAATTGATTTTAAAATATAAGATGACAAAACTATTTCACAGCCAAACGAGTTCCAACAAACAGACCATTCTGTATAGGTTTGAAGACAATAACTTAAGGTAGGTGTGAAGCTCAAACAAGTGTGGTGGGAGGAAGATAAAGAAGAACACCCACCTTTAGCAATGGTTTGACTTAAAACTGCTGTTTGGTGATAAGACCAGCCGATAGCTTACTGTTGTATCTTTTGATGTCTGGTCAGTGCTGCCTTTCTTTGCATGGCTGATTTTTTTTTTTTTTTACCAACAAATGTCGTTTTGGCAATTTAGTGACGGGCTCCATCTTTCCAAAACAGGGACAATAGACTTCGTCATACATCGCCAACCTTTACAGCACCATCTCCCCCATCCTGTGCTCAGCAGGTGTTCGCAGAACAATATCAGATACAATCTAACATATGGGCAGAGGAAGTAGTGGGGAGTTGCTAAAGAACTCTAGCATGACTGTTCATTTAAAACACAAGGAGCAAAAGATCAGGGTAAGCATTCAGAGCTTCTCAAACACGTTTTCCTTTCTCACTGTTCAGAGAATGTGAAAATAGTACTAACCAGATGCAAGAAACCGCTTTCAGTCCACAGACATGACTGCAAATTTCTGCTGGAAGGTCACATACATCCCAGGAGTTTCAGACTTGTGCAGTTTTCAACATTCAATAAACTCATTTGAGAAAACTAATTTACATTTTATGATGGTTATTTTGGACCATCATAACAAATAATGCATTTGTTATTTGTCATATACAAAAGACAACCCTTCTTTTAAGATTATTGGGTTTTGCGATTTCAAATAAAAGTTAATATTTGTTTCTGTGTACTATGAATGCAATTATTTCCATTTCACCAATAAAATAAATAAAAAACAAAAACAATTTTGCAACAATATTATATATATATATATATCATATAATATATTTTGATACCTTAAGATGAACAATGGTCACACTGAAACATTCTAGAATGAGTTTATATTTTTGTAAATTGAATTAATGTACATTTATAAGCATCATATGTAGCAACACAAACTCTAAAAGACAACACATTAATACAGTTGTTGCTAGAAAAATACATTCTAGAGAAAAGACTAAATAAACGTAAATTAAAATTTGATATCTAAGCTAAATTACATTTAAAACTGAGCCAGTTTCAAATGGCTCAGCTACACATCCATGTTGGTGTAGAAAACTGTTTAAAAAAGGTCAAACATGTTGAGAAAAGAGAAAAAAAAAGATGACAAGAAATATGACCATGTAAAAATAAATACTGCTACACTCCCTGGGCACCAGAGGACTTACAGTTTCTATTGTTCTTTTTTTGCAAGGCTCCATTTCCTTTTATATTTCTAACCTCCAAGGTGCTAGCATTAGAGTCATTAACTGTGACCTTTTCCATTCACTGCACAGAGTTTCATTCAAACAAAACCTTTTCAGGATGATTGAAGATGGGCAATGTCTTATGACACGTTTCTAGGCAACATCTCACAAGCAATACTTTTTCTATTTTCCAATAAAGAATGACACATATCTTGTCACCTTGGGAGAACAAAATGATAACTGTTACTCAAAGTAATTTATGGCCAACAAATCCAATCTACCTTCGGTGTACAGCAAGCATGAGGGGGGACCCTTTTGACATCTTTTCCGTGCTTCATTCAGGGATTTATTACTTATCACTACTTTCAAGATGGACACAAAGGTGTGGATATAAAGTAATGCACTGCAATATTTTAAACTAGCTTTAATAGGCCTTTTTCAAAACTGGAAATAACGTATCTTGATGTTGGAGCACTTCCTGTTTTTGCCAATCTATACAAGTAATTGATAAAAAATGGTTGGGTGTGAATGCGTGCCAAAATGTGGAAATTATTTCAGATTTAATTTTCTTATTATTTTGAATAACATTTAATTTGAGCAAAACCTTCTAGCTAAACAGAATCTTAAGGAAATTTAGTAAACAAGTTTTGCATTTCTTCTTCATGTAGCTAGATCTATTGGTTCTGCCAGGCTCTGACTGTTTGTGTGCCTGAAATGCTAGAGGCAGAGTCTTTGATCAAACAAACACCGAGGTGTGGGATATCAGTGGGACTCTTTCTTTCTCCCCTTTTCACTCAAGTGTGACCTGCAGAGTCTTGGTATTCACATTGTTAAAAGTTAGTACTGCTGAAGCCAGCTGAAACGCACACCAAACAGCCGGGGATTGCTGGGAATCAGGAATGATGTCATAAATAAAAGACTAGAATGGTGTGGGGTTTCAAGGGAATAGTAATCTGCAGACAGGGCAGAGGGTGCCGGGGCATTTTGCTAAAAGGTTAAATCAGCAAAAAGTGGATCCATTATGACATCATAACAATATTAGCAATTAAAGTGATCATATTTCAAACCAGCTTAGTGTGCCATAATGGAGTTTAATTGTGTTTGTCAAAGGATCAACCAGAAAACTAAGATTGATACCTCAAGCTTTTAGACGGAATAATTGGAGATTGACATTAAATATGTTAAATCTCCCCTAGAAAAGAAAAAAAGGGCAATAATTTTGACCATATTTAAAAAAGAAAAAGCAGGACTACAGTAGTTTTTTTTTCTCCGCTCTTTTTACTGCTCTTCAAACGAGAACTCTCTCATGTGGATGGATTTTTTTTGTCAAGACTACAGTGGCAAAAGCAACAAATAGCTTTTCTTGTTGCCTCATGTTTGAGGCAACAGAAATTTGGCAATTTTTAATTTCTTGAGGAACATCCCTGGACAGGGATTCTAATATCACTCGTATTAAAAACCCCCACAACTACCAAACTTCAGCTGTGACTCTGAATCTGTAAAGTTAACTAAAACATTGTGTGATTCATCCTGACTCTACCTAAAATAACAGGACACAAAGATTAAAATTTGTCTTGGCACCAAACACTTCCACTATTTTCACTGCTGCTTTGCTTTTTGCATATAATTTGTTCTGTCTGTGTTTGATCACTCATCCATCCTATAACCTCTCAACACTGTTACATAACACCACAACACACAAACAAGGACATGAGTGTGGTGAATACATGTTTCTCAAGAACAACATAGTCAGTAATAGAAAGAAATTGTGTCTTTTTACGCCGCTCGAAGGACAAACAACACAACAGCAAATTAAAACGTGAACACAGCCAGATTGCCCAGGTGGGAGGAGAAGTCAATGAGACGGTGGCTCTCACACTGCTCAGCATACGACCCACAACACAGAAGGATCAGATGACAAGCCTCAGCCGACAAACACACGCCGAGCTTGATGCGCTTTTTTTTTCCCAGCTAGTCCCCTTCTGGCAGAGAGCAGAGTCACGTGTGCACTGCCGCTATTTTGTGGGGAACATTCTGCCTAATTAGGTTAAGCTTCTGCATTTTAATTGCTGTCCTCATAAACAGCAGTTGTAACGTTAACCCCCTCGCTGGATACAGCTTTTCATCCCAATGTTTAATCTTTGTTGGTATTAATAAAACACCCGAGTCTCTTAGTTAAATAATTACAACATCCTAAATAATGTTTTGTATTGTGTTTGTAAATTGAAAGAATAAAAAAAATCCAACATGTTTAGGAATGTCATCTGAGGTGTGTCTTAATTTTAATTTATATATACACACACAGCTTCCATAAAAAAATGCAAGAAAAACATTTAAAATTCATTCTGACAAACTACAACATAGAAAACATGAGCATTATGTATTCAACATAAAACTAACCTGATGCAATGGGAAAATGTTTAAACATGGAACAGCCTGTTCAAATATGACTGCCAAATAACTGGTTGAGCTAGTCACCTGGCACCTTTGTCAGTTTCATTAATTTACGAGTTGCTTACGATGAAAACATGCTATCCTGCTTGCTGTTCTACTAAATACTTTCCTGAAAGAGGACAGATGGATGAGCATTTAACGTTGTCAAAACTGACAGCGAAACACGAACAATAAAAATAGTGATTGTTGTGCAAGTTTAGGCACTTATCCCTCCATTTTCACTGTATTCCAACAGGATACAATCAGATTATTTGGATAGAAAAGTATGGCAGAAAATGGTGATGGGAGTGGTAGTATTATACTCTTCAGGGAAGACCTCTGTGGAAAAAGAACCTAGAACCTGGGATGGGTGGACATTTCTCAGCATTACTTTTCAGAAAACTTATGTTCACTTTAACTCACAGCTTTTACAGCTTCCAGCTTGTCTGCAGAGACACAGGCTGTCAAGTCTACTAATAATGTAGTGTTTTAAGAGCTTTAAGAGATGTTTGAAATTATTTACTCCTGTTATGTTCTAAAGCACAACTGAAACCAAGAGACATCCATAAAGGAACATTAATTATTTAGAGATTTTAAACAATTTACTGCTGTGTTTGTATGTCCTGATGGGACACATCTTTTAGGCTTAATTTAATAAACATCTGTTATCACGGACCATTGCTGCATGTTTCTCAGCTTAGTATCGTTATGGATGGTCAGTCAACCTAATGGTTATTAATTGAAATGGTGGCACCACAATGCATTTAAAGCAGTAAATAGATTTTAAATTGTTAATCCTGTGCAGCGACTTCCTGGAAAATTCTTGAACAGGACATTATGTTCAGAAGGTGTGTAGCTCACCAAACAGGAAATTACAAGTTTATTTTTGTGCTGCAGTGTTCCCGCCCTGCTTAGGTGTACGAGTGGAAAACTCAACAGGAGGTGTTTCACGTTCCATAATTTGAGAGTCTGTCAGTCACACAAATTCATTTCATATTTGAAAACTAGAAATGCAACTATTTGCTTCCAGCTGTGGCAGCACATATCATAAGAAAACCATGGTTACTAACAGATTTGCTGTATTTGCACCATTTATTTATGGTCTGATTCAGTAAATTAACATTTTTTGACATGCTTTCTGAAAAGTTAACTAAAAAGAAGCTCTGACACCTTTTCTAGACAAAACAAAATAAGATTTTACTATAATGCGTAAATTCAGAACTAATCTTATTTTTAAATAGCTTTAATTAGAAAAAACTCAAGCTGTGCTCTTACCTTTTTGTTGTTCTCAATTGATGACTTAATCTAGAGATGATTGATCTGATCAATTGACCAATGATTAATTGATTTGAGGCCATTTTCCTAAAAATCTGAGTTTTCTCTTGTATCTTGTATTTTTTGTAAAAATATGCTAAATAATAAAAAAATGAGAATGTCAATATATTTTGACAGGTTTTTTTTGCATCAGCCGACTTAATGTATAAAAACTTGTTTTCCCACAAATTATTAAACTTCAGACATATTTATGAAATACAACAAAGAGCAACCCCCTTAGGTTGTTGAATTTAAAAAAAAGGGTAAAAATAACAAAATATGTGACACACATATAATAACCCTTAACCTAGTTTACAAGAAGTTTATATTAGTGACAGCCCTCTAATTACCTCCCCTGGAGTCTAACAGTTTTAAAGGATGTTTAGAGGAGGAAAACAAATTTTTGATGTGGGGGATTACAGTCTGAAAAACAAGCCCACTTCCTATAACCAAAGCCTCAAACAGGAGTGATTGAGGATTACAAGCTACTCATTTGATTGTGTGAAACCTGATAAACTCTGATGTGGCTGCCTCTGCTTACCATACAGACTTTTACTCTGACCACAGCTTTATATTACGTTCGTCATCTCTCAATAACATAAAAAGTTTTACTCTGCAAGTTTGAGCTCTTTAATTGCCATTTGGGTCTTCCCAGCCTCTTATAAGCAGGGTTGGTTTGGAAAATCATGACTATTAGAATTAATCTAAGCAGTACTGGCATTTTCAACATGGCCTAAAAAGTTGCCGTTTTGGTATACATGTCTTTCTAGAGAAATTGTCGATGAGGGTAAAAGCGAGTTTCCATACTCATTCTTAAACCTTCTTCCTAACATCAAAGTATTGAGGTCAGGCTACAGATTGTGGTTTATGGTTTCATATAAATCCTTGTTAAAGTCAAGTCAGCATGTTGTAGTATACTGTGCATTCAATAAATGTCTTCACTGGATAAACAACTTACTCCCCAAAGGAATAAGAATTGACTTCAGGGTCATGTCCAACAGAGAAAAACTTTCTTGGAGTTCTTCATTTTCATTGTACGGAATAGAAGAAAACGCAGAGCTACGTTTAGGGTTAAGGAGATTTTTTTTGTTTGTTGTTGGGAATTTGCAACACAAGTGGCTGCAACTTTTCTTCAAACTCTTTGGCTTATCATTTTTATACTTGAACTAAAATAGAAAGAATTTAGAAATCCTGTAGCAGAAAGACATCATGCCTCCTTTGTTTTCCATGAGTGTAGAAGAGCTTTCAATACTTGAAGCTACTTGACAAGCAAAAGTAACTTGTTAATCTTACCTGATGAGAGCGTCATTGAATGTTTCATGGGGTTCTGCACTGTGAGAAGCACTGGTGGACTGTGGAATTGAGGGAGAGAGGGAGGAAGACGGAGGCAGGGTGGAGGAGAGAATCGCACTGGAGCTCGGATTCTGGTCCACTGAGCTCTTCTCATTTTGAGGAAGATGACAAGGTTTTGCTCTGGCATGATTACAGATGCTGTGATTGCTACGACGATGAGCCACTTTGCCAACAGACCCTGTACCAGATCTCTCAAAGGTTTGTTGACATCTTTAAACAGAAGCACAAAGAGTAGATTTACATGAGCTCCCAAATGTTTGTTCACCAATTGAAATTTAGATTAATACATACAATAATTATTTTTGCTTTAAAATTCCCCATGGAAAAAAAAACAAAAAAGATTTCTCTAAGAATGACAAATTTGAAGCTCACTGCAAGACACCCGGGAGGAAAAGTGGATGGCATATTCTTCAACTCCATGACGACAGAAACACGTAAAATTGTCAGACTTTCCTTTGTGCCATTGAAATGTTGCAGTCAAGCCTGGTGAGTTTTAACATTTTGGACTCAATCATGTGTGTCAGCTAACGGCAGAAAAGCAGCAGAAAGCTCAACAAACCATATAGATCACATGTGTCAAACTCAAGGCCCGGGGGCCAAATCCGGCCTGCCGTAGGTTTTTATGTGGCCCTCTACAGTCAAGACTAAACACTAAGTGTGATTAAATATTATATTATCAATCATATCAATGCAGTTTTTATCTGTTTACTGCCAATTCATATCAATCAATCCCTCCAGTTTCCTGAGAATTTAGTTGATGTAGGATTATAGTCCATGATTTATACAGCGAGTAAATAAACAGACACATTTATCATTATGAAAAGATGTTCAAAAATATTAAGTAATTTTAAGTATTCATTGACATATTAACAGTTTGTGAACAGGTTTTATCAACACATTCTGGCACAACCGGGCCTTTAAGAGCCTTCATGATCTTGATTTGGCCCAAAACGAAAATGAGTTTGACACACCTGATATAGATCATTGGAATGCAGGACATGGATGCATAGATCCTGAAATTCAAAGATTTTTGGCTTTAAAAACTTTTGGAAAAACTATTGTCTTAAGTTTTGGGTGTTGTATTGAGATGAACCTGGCAGGTAAAGTGTCCCAATACTGTTGGGCTTTTTCTTTTAATTATATATAGGAGCTGCTGTCAATTAACTGTGAAAATTACTTTTTTGTGGTTTGCTTGAATTAAACATAAGCATACTGTAGATTACTTGTATTTTCTAAATAATTTCTCAACTTGAGTTATTTTTATGTGCTGGAAAAAAAACTATCAGTCAAGTTCAAATATTACACCACCTCACACAATGGAAGCTATGGCAAAACGGTGGTGGACAAATTAATTAAATGCAGTTTTACTACATTCATAAGTACTTCTTTACAATTCAGAGCAGTCAAACATTTATCATATTTTCTGAACCCCATAAGGTGTTTTTAAGTTCATGAAGTTCTTTTAAAAGTTGAAGATTGTCCCTTTGCCTTCTCTTGTTTACAACTAATTTGCCACCCAATAACAATAATCCCTTTCGTGACCCCCGATGACCCACCGCATGCTTCAAATAACCTGATCCACTGAACACAAGGAGCAAAACTGTGAGGAATTACAAACATTCTTGAAACATGGGTGCAAATATGTGGATACATGCACATACGGGAGGATGCACAGATAAATGCAAACACACAAACCACCAAAAAGGTACCGAATGTTTCTGCTGTCTGCCCTGTGGTGGACAGGACAAAAGGAGCAGCATTACAATGAGAAGATTAGAGGACTATTGAGAAATTCTGAATGTGGCTGGGAACTGACCTGCTTTATCACGAAGAAACAAAAGCAGGAAGACTTTGTGGAATAGCACAAATTTTTTGCATTACTGAAATAGGTTCCATGCCCCAAGAAGATCATATAAATGAGCCCTTCAATAAGCGTGCATTTCCATATGTAGCGAGCCTGATTTGCAAGTAAACATCTGCAAAGTGTGTATCGTGTGTGTGAGAGAATCAAGGAACATTAAAAGAAAATAAATTAACTGGAAACCAAATCATTTGCAATGTTTCTATGAGCAAATGTGGGTCTGTGCTACCATTTTCCAGATAATTTGACAAAATATTAGAAAACACAAAAATGTTTATTGAATAATTCAAAGTGAATGTATAGAACTTGGTTTATATAGGCCTTTCTTGTTACGACGTTCTGATCGGAGGCCAGAAAGGCCAGAGCCCAATAAAACCTGGAAAAGATGAACTCTTAACTCAGATTTAATTTTAGGCTACATCACAGAGAAAAGGTAATTTACAGCCCTTATAGCTAAAGGGAAAAAGCAGATATTGTGGGAATCAAGATTGAGCTACTTCAGTGAGAAAAGAAAAACGTTGACGATGAAAAGTGAGACAGTCATATAAATTACAGCTTGGGCAATAAAAAGGATCATAAAAGGTTGAGAAAACGATTTATGGCATCATAAACATTAAATGAGCATGAACTTCAGAAAGCTTCACTATAAGTTTCATGTGCTTGATGATTTTTTCATATGCAACATCCACATATGTAGAAAACAGCAGAGTACTGCTGAAATATTCTGGTATTTAAGAGTACTATGTAACTTCTAAACCAAAAGTCAAACAAGAATAATGCTTTCATAAGTACACTGAAAATAAGTAGCAGCAAATTTGTTGTTTCAAGCTTGAAAAAATTTAATGTTCTAACCTTTCACTTTTCCCACAGCCAGCAAGTTTATTCCCAGTAACAGGGGCTACAGCCACCTCTCCACCACTCCCGTGTCCTTCAGGCTGGTGGATACTACTTTTCTGCTTGCTCTGTCTTTTCAATCTCACCTAAAAAAATAAAAAATAAAATAAAAAAAAAAGAGAGACAAACTCCCCCAGAAAACAGATTAAATCCCATATTAATAAAGACAGAAATATTCAATATTCATTAATTCTGGCAAAAATGAAATGTATAAATTTTTTCGTGTTTATTGTTGTTTTAAGCCTATAACTCAGAGGTTAACCGTCTCTGAATGGTTTGTGTAGCTCTAAATACTGACAGAAGCATAAATCCATTAGAAACAGTTATATTTGAAAAGAGTACTAAAACCACATAAATGTCATTATTTTAACAACTTATGCAGTTTCACTGGCAGCTAACACAAATTGGTCTCTTGTTCTGACTTTTGTTTTTCCAATTCCAGACCATGCAAACTAAATCTAAATCCTCCAACAAAGGAAGAAATCTATGATCAACTTCTAGACCACCATGTGATTCCAAAAGGCAATCACAGTTGTAACAAAATAATTATATAAAACCTTGGTTCCATACACCAATAATCCTATGAGTAGCAAGCTTAAGTATTAAAGTGAATTTTCTCAGGGCTAAACTTAGAAAGACCTTGTAGAGCAACCAATTTATGTGGTAATAGGTGGCATTTCATAATATTGCTGCACATGCAGTATCTTTGGCCCTGGGCTGATCTGAATGGCTGAGGAAAATAAAAAATATTACTCTGAGGCCATTAAACTACAATGAATTCAGGGATGGCTTTAAAAAAATATTTTAGACCCATAGCAACTAGCTTTAGCAAATCACAATCAAAATGTTAAATTACTTGTTTTTCAGGAGCAAGTATTCTCCAACACATCTAGTTTTATAATCATAAGCCCCTTGTTGTCAAATATTAGGAAAGATCAGCTCAATAATAGGATAAAACGTGTTGTGTCAAAATGTTATAAGTCACATGCTAACTTTGTGCGATTTTCTTACTCAAGCCTGTTTTGGCTTATGCTCAAGGCATTAGACCCTAAATTGAGCAAAGTTTAAAAAAAATAAATAATTTGGCTGATTCTTTGAGCTTTGTTGGAGGCATTTAAGCTAAGGTAGTTCTAAACACAGTTATATCAGCTTTGTTACATAAGCTTTTGATTAATTGAAAATAAAAATGAAGCCAAGAGGATACAGCAAACTGGTTTGGCACAAGCACTAGTAATGGTGTCAACACCTCTGATATTCCTATTAATACACCACGTTTTTTTTTTTTATGTAAGGAAAAATAAAATTAAAAATAACAAAAGCAATATACAGTTGAAACGTTTTGTGCTTTAATTGTTACTTTTTGTGATGACAAATGAGGCAAACAGTCTAGTTCTTGTTTTTATGCAGAGTTAAGCAAATTGTTTGCTTGCTGCACTGTTGTACTGACCAAGCAGATAAAAACTAAACAAAGAGATGCATGGATAATATTTTTACCTGAGCTTGTGTAAATGAAGCTGAGGCTCGACTCCGGAATACGCGCCCAGGACTCCGGTGTCTCGGCACAGCCAGTGTTTGTGAACATTTCTCCTCAACTCCATGTCGACCCAAAGGGCTGAGAAGGTACCGGTGCGCCACGCGCATCACACGGGTCAGTAAGCTCACACCCCGTGGAACAGTGTCTTCATGTGGAAACACCACAGATTGTTATTAAATGCGTTCGGTTTATTTAGGTTCTTCACCATTAAAAAAACTTCTGAGTTGCAGAGATCTAAACTGTAGGAAATCTAACTGAGGAATAATATTTGCTTCATTTCCCAAACATTTATTTTTGAACATCTATTAGCTCCAGTGAACGACAGCAACAGTCCAATGCAAAGTTAGTTACGCAAAACGAGTTATCATTCCACCACAGAATAACCCCCACCGACCCGCTTGGTGAGTGTACAGTAGACGTAGTTTGGTGTGTGAATATGTCCTTGTTGTACACAAATGAATGTTATCAGTTCCTCACCATATTTACTCAGGGGGGAAGAATCTGTCTGCTTTGGCAAGCTGTGAACACAAAGACTCACTTGTCCTGTCCCTCATGCACTCAGTCACAGTCATGGACTCTACTGCTTATATCTCCAGTTTATGCTGAGGGATATTTATGCCACAACTTTTAGTAAGGAAGCTAAGATCTGGTGCTCCCCCCCCATCTTAACTGATAACAGCAAAGTGGTACCGAGACTGGATTGTGATTTATTTTGTTTTTTTTTTTAAGGATCATCTTTCTTGAGATTGTATCCTACTGCACTGCAATCCCTGTCATATTCAAGCTCAAGAGGGTTTAAGAGTAGCTTTAGGTTTGTATTGCATAGATACAGAAAGCATGAAATAAATCCAAAAGTGTTTCTAACTATAAATTCACAAAATATGCTTTATTATTAATTTTGTATCAAATAAAAAAATATAAAAGCCAGAGTCCTAAGCTTTTATTAGATTACTAAACTCCAAAGAAAACACATCACCAATCATTCAGGTGTGGCTACAGACTGAAAATGTCGAGTTTTCAGTTTTGATATTTACACTGCACACACCGACACTTGCTACCACTGATGCCTTATAATACAACCTCCTTAGGAAATGATCTCTTAGGAGGTGAGTGATGTTCTTTTCTTAAAACCAAACCCCTTTTTAACACCTACACAAGCAAATACAGTAAGAGTTCTAGAGGGTATGAATAACCTTCTCACTGAAAGGGACCTGATGAAACCTGTGAGTGCCTGTAGCCTCTAAAACCAATGTTTACCAGCTGCCTCCGTCTTTATTCTCTCCATAATATGGTGACAAAGACTTTGGATAAAACATTACAAAGAACTGTCTGGTAGAAGAGGTCTGACTGAAAAGCACTGGTGAGCAAGCTTGTACTTGCTAACTTAAAAATAATTTGCTGACAAGCTCAAATGACTTTGTGCCACTGAAATCATCTCATCTTTCCAGAAAACATTTATTTAATTGGGTAGCTGAAGCATAGAGTACTGCATGAACAGACTCTAAAGATGTAACTGATATATACATTAAGTGTATATATATATATATATATATATATATATATATATATATATATATATATATATATATATATATATATATATATATATATATATAAAGACATTAGCTCACCTTTTTCAGAAGTCTTCTTGCCTCCAGATTTTAAAATATGTCGTGTCTCGTTTCCTGTTCCGACTTCGTTGGACATGTTATGTGGGTTTTCCAACTTTTCTGCAAGAAATAAAACCAGATGTCTTGGGTCAAAGCAGTATTTGGCAAAAATGAATTCACATGAACTTGTTCATGAGTAGAGTTTATATAGTTAAGAACTTTGCACTAAACAAAACAGTTTTCTATGTTTATGAACATTTTTCATTGTTGCTGTTGGATTTTAGCTATGCGATAAGTACGAGAAAAAAAATGCTTTGAAAAGTATCTCTGTGTTGACTAGGTGGCATTCATCCTTAGAGGGATGGGTGACAAGATCCTACACTTTTGTATAAGTTTGTCAAAATCGACCTGAATTAGAATCAATGTATTTTAGGGCTAATTGTCATTTTGTTAAGGATAATCATTTGTAATATAAAAGTTGGATGCATTTGTATATCATTATACCAGGATGTGGAGGAATCAATGTTGCTTGAGATCCAATGTGAAGTTGCCACATACCAGTGGCAGCCTGGTAAAACCAATATATTACTGTGATTGATTTATTAAAAACAAAACAAAAAAAACACAGAGGCTCTTGATATACATGGACATACTATTGATCAGACCTTCAATCTTTATTTTAATTTTCAGAGAACATCTTGGGCTTCACATTAGCTCTAAGCTAAAATTGTAAAATTAACAGATAAACACCGTTAATAACAGTGTGAGGAATGAATCTTTACAAGAAACAAGTTTTACTTTTTAAAATGAATCCTTGACATACATAAACTTTTTGATTATATGTAATTTACTGAATTACCTGCACATGTCATTAAATGTATTAGTCATATTGTATTAGATTAGTAGATCTCTAGCAACAGATTAAACAAACTAATAAGCATTTCATAAATCTGTAACTGTATTATGTTTTCAAGATGTAAAGCACTCTGAATTGTCTTGCTGCTGGAAATGTGCAAAAAAAACAAAAACAACTTAAAGTGAATTTGATTTTCTGTCAAAAATCACACTGAGCAGAGCGGAAGATTGAATTTCTCAAAGTGTAGCTGGCAATCATAACTTAGAGTTGGTACGCATGTCTGGTTCTCGGTGTGCATCACAGCAAAAATAGTAAATGGCCTGTACTTGTATAGCGCTTTATCAAGTCCAGAGGACTCCAAAGCACTTCATTCTTGTACACATTCACAAGCTTAAAGGATGACGCACTCCTCTAATTGTCATACGCCTGAACAAGGGTTTTAAGAATAAGGCCTTTGCCAAACAGGAAGAGACGATGATAAAGTGCAGACCTAATGCACGGTCTTTGCAGAATTTTGACTAGGGTCATCTTTGATGTTAAAGCAACTCAGTTTCCCAGACACACCCTCCCCTTTCCTATAGCCCATGGCTCTCACCCTCTGCCTCATGTTTCTGTCTCCTTCCTTCCCTCCCTGCGATCCATCTCAATCACCGTCAGACATCAGTTAACGAGAGGTTCCCTTCCACAGCACAAATCAAAACACTGACGTGTCATAGCATGTCTCTAGTCAACCACCCAAAAACCAACCAAGAAAAAACACATAAGGCTTAAGCATATTCATGGTCTGAAATAACCTGGAAAATAATTTGAAACTGTAAGACTGAAAATACATCCACTATGGTTGAATACGCATAAATATGCAGCGTCCCTTTATGAAAAGTCCTTGCAGTTGACAAAGTGCTTTCACAGCATACAATTTACAGTAAAATCAGTTACAAGGGAGTGACTGGGTTTATTTGGAAGTTCAGAAGAAGCATGCAGTTGCCTCTTCTGAACTTTGGTGTTAGTAGAACTGTCACAAACAAACAACAAACAAATCTGTATGTTTAATATCTGTTTTTCTTGAAGACATAAATCCAGACAGTGGAAGTATTGACACGGGTGAGCTCACCTGAGCAGTTTCTGTATGACTCAAGTGGGTAATGAGTAGGGATGAATGAACGTGTGACTATATAGGAGTGATTTATTGTTGAAGCTAAGCCTTCTGCCCTCACTAGACTTGCCACCCAGCAGCCAGACTCTCAGTCAGTCCTACTCAAACAACTTTAATTAAAGTAAAACTGAAAAGAACTTTGTTTCATTACACAAAACAAGCTGCACTCAGCACATCATAAAATGTCACAAAATAAAATGCAACACTACTTCTGGTCCATGGACAGTATTTGCTTAATATCATAAAGATCCCAGGTTCATGAAACTAAGCATAGCACAATGAGTTGAGTCTTGACAAGGTCTATTTTAATATCAGAGGAATACCAGGTCAAATTTACAACATGCCTGGTCCTGCCATGTAGTTAGTCACATTGAATAAAATATTATGGAAACATGAAATCAAAGGTTTTGGTCAGAACTTCAGTGGTGTTCAGAAGGATAATGGAAGGTTGCTACAGACATATTAATTTACTGGTTGTTCAAATATAATTCCAGTTAAGAACAACACGTTCATGAAGTGGGGACTAAAATTATGCCACTCATCAATTTTAAGGTGAAGTTGTTTTTACAACAATCCACAAACCGCAGAAGGAAAAATGAAAATTAGAAAGCAATTAGATTGTTCCACATTTTATTTCTAATTTCTGTGAGACCACAATGATAAATCTTGATTATCATACTTTGAGAACCTTGTAGCCCATATTACCTGCATATAAGACAGAAACAGTTAAAACACCAAATGGGAAAAACAACTTATTGGACATTTGTTGCCAATTTGGCATAGGATAAAATGTTTCTCTCTGACTGTTAATGCTGTAGCCCCATAATTAATTAAAATTCCCCACAAGTACTTTATGACAACTGTATACTATATTTGACGCAAGCTTTTTGTCCTATTACTTCAAACACTTTTAAGAGGCCCAATCATGTCATATAGGAAAACAAAGTTGACAACATAACTTATTGCAAGCTGTTCCTTTTTTCCCCGTCTTTTCTTTTCACAGTAGAAGATTATTGCATTGTTATTCGACAGTTTCTGGGTGCGACAAAGGCCTCTGCATTATCTCCACACATGATTTAAAAACGATAATTCATTGGGTATTGGCTAAGGATGAAAGGAAATCTTTCAGATGATTTAATCTTGGATCCTGCTCAGTCGCTGTAACTCAGCCAGTTTGGAATATGATAGGTGTTTCCAAACACAACGCAGTCTTGTTGCACAGGTTCTTCAGTTTCACTAAATCAAAACATAGATGCAACAGAGACTGGACAGCACTGGTTTAGTGCCATTAAAGCTACAGTATGTAACTGAACATGAATGAACTGAATAAAAACATAAACATTAGATGTTACATATTTGTTGAAACTGTCACTATGCGGTGACAGTATGGCATGAGATAGATAATCTGTGCAAATCTTTAGCATCTTATACATCACCATCTGTGCTTCAGTGATAGTCTGTCGAGCAGGATGGATATCTAATTGCAATGCAAATGATGCAATGAAGACATTTTGTCCAGCTTATTTAGTAGCCCATCTACTGTTACAGTAGGATGATAGCTTTTTAAAATGAGTTGAAACAAGGACACACATGGAGCCTCACTTTGTAACCAAAAAGACAAATAATTTTAGTCACCTTCAAATTAAAAGCTGGTCTTCAAAAAAGGCATCAAATATGCATTAGTGTTGTGAAATTTTAATGCATTTTCAATTGCTATTATCTGTTAAATAAATATATTTATATTGAAGCTGCATTTCCACAGATGTCAGTATGGCAGCTGAGACAGGCTGTCATACTGTGAGCACATTTACTCTTATGAGGACCAGAGTGTGGTTTCTATCAGTCAACTTAACCTATAATCACTGAAAAAGCTGCACTGTATCTATGACTTGTCACACAAACCACTTATGTTGACTGAAAACTAACAAATAAAAACATATGATAAAATCCTGAATGACGCAGGGTTGTAAATGCCAGAGTCAGTGAGCTCAGTCTGGAGCTTCCTCTATGACTCAGGGATTTAATGAGAAGGTATGAATGACAACGGGTGTTTCACTGCCCACACTCTCTTCCTCTCTGAAAGTCAGTTTCAAATAACAGTACTCTGCTGATTCTTCAATGTCCAGCCATTAATGCTGATGACACGCAGCCGTTTGAAGGTTGTGTTTTAGTGCGTTTGAAGCTCTGACGTCCTCTGGGACAGAACACCTGTAGCTTGGATTGAAAAGCTCTGATGCAAGGCCTGGGATCAGCAGATCCTGTAGCATGGGAATTCACTGACACAGCTCAATGGCCGTTTTGAGGTGCTGATCATTTAGAGAGAGAATGAGAAAGTAATGAAGACGGGAAATTTCCCCAAGGAATAAGAGAAAACATCAAGACAGTTTCTCCTACTCGACCCTGCCTCAGATTACCCAAGAAAACTCTCCTCATAATCACACCAACAGAAGGACAATCAATTGAAAACTTACCTTAGAATAGATGCAACACAGAAAAAAGCAAGAATGAGATTTTACCTCAACAAACATCTTGAAGGCAAATTTCCGTTTTAAGTGGGGTCAAATTCTGACTTCTCTCGAATTATTTATGTTTGAGAATCCATGGAGCCATTTGTATGGGACTGAAAGTACAGAAAAATGTTACACAAGTGGAAGACATTGAAACAACTGCCAGCATGACCAGGTCTGACCCTTAATGTTCTCCACAAGAGGCTAAAAAGAGTCTGCAAAAATGTCCTTGCAGGACATAATGGTATAGTGCATGCCAATACCACCTCCACAAGTTTAGCTTCTTCTGGGAGATGTTCAATGGGAAAATATTTGCTCTATGTATGGAAAGCAAAAAAGTTGATTAAAATTTTCTAGGAAGCATGCAGAAGATCAGACTTTCTACTGGGTAGAGATGTTTGTTTTCATTTGTGACACAACAGGGTTGAAAAGTCAAGATCTCAACATATCAAAATATTTTGACAAAAGTATTTTCTCTAGCAAGTCTGAAGCATAAGCCCAATTTTATTTGAATATTTTTAACAAAATTATAGAAAAATGGTAAAAATAAAACAAAACATGAGAAATATCTGACACAGCACAATGACTAAGGAGAAGACTTAAG